ATAATGTCATAGTATCTGTCTCACAGGATTGTTGTGAAGTTCATCTGAGATAATGTATGTCTAGTGTTTTGTTAACTTTGAAGTGCTTCATAAATGCCAGGTATTGTTATTGTCAATCCCCCTTTTCTCATTTTTTTCTATATTATCATATCAATACCATCATCATCATCATCATCATCATCATCATCATCATCATCATCATCATCATCGTTGTCATTGTTGTTATTATTGTTATTATTACTGATATTTTCCTTTTCTGTCCATGCTCTATATTTCATGGATCCTGGGATCATAGATCTAGCACTGGAAGGGACCTTAGATACCCTCTTGCCTTTCCCCTTTATTTTACAGTTGAGGAATATGTGACCATGGGAGATTAAATGTCTAGCCAAATGACACATAGGTAGTAATTGGCAGAGCCCAGAATCGAACCCAGGGCCTTTGGCTCTAAATCAAGCCTTCACCATGATAGAGAGGGTCAATCAATGATACCACTATTTTCCCATGCCTCTTGAGATCCAAAACTTAGGAGTTTTCTCCCTCTTTCATCACAAATCCAGTTGCTAACCCTTGTAAATTCTTCCATAATAGGAAGGGCATCAACTATCCCTATCTTATAATGTCTTATTGCCCTTTACTCACCAATGTGAACATCCTGCTTCAAGGAAATCAGTTCTTCTTACCCATCTATTCTACACTTCAAGCCTATTCCCGCTTTTGTACCATTACACCTACTGTCTTCCACTAGGAATGTGTTCTTTTATCCTTTCCTTTTCTTCCAATTCTACCTAGCTAGTCCAAATCCCACCTTTTCCAGGAAGCTTTCCTCACTTCCCCATTCAAAAATACCCTTTTCCCTTTTCCCTTCTCTTAATCCCAGAAGAGTTTAAAGTTTGAAATACACAAACTTGCACCAGATTAGTTGCTGTTCCATATCGTTCCCTAGATGTGAGATGAAAGTATAAATATCTTGTCTCACCAAGCACATTAAAGGCAGGGACTGAATTTCTTCTACATCTGCCATAGTCAAATCAGAACAAGAAGTAACTTTTTAAGCAAATACAATGTGCCGGGCACTGTACTAAGCCCTGGAGATATAAAGAAAAGCAAAAGAGAGTGTCTGACCTGAAGGAGTTTATAGTCTGATGGGTGAACAGAGAGAAACAACAAGCAAACAACTCTGTAAACAACAGATATATGTAAATGGATGTGTATATATAAATTATCACATATGTGCATATCTATATACAAACATACATGAGAGATGATCAAGGAAGGGAAGGCCCTAGCATAAAAGGTGGGGGTGGGTGGCTGAGGAGAGGCTTGCGTAGAAAGTAGGGTTTTAGCTGGGATTTAAAAGAAGCCAGAGAAATAAGAAGGTGGAATGAGGAGAGAGAGATTCCAGGCATGGTGGAAAGCAGAGAACATGCAGAGTTATGAGATAAAGTGTCTTTTGCAAGATATAGTAAGGAGGCCAGTGGCACAGGATCAAACAGTAGGTGGTTATGATTAAGGTGTAAGAAGAATAGAAAAGAATGTGTGGGGAATTTAGGGGAAGGGGCAAGTTATAATTGTTTTTTTTTTTTTTGGTGAGGTAGTGGTGTTAAGTGACTTGCCCAGAGTAACACAGCTAGTGTTATGTGTCTGAGGTCGGATTTGAACTCAGGTCCTCCTGACTCCAGGGCCGGTGCTCTATCCACTGCACCACCTAGCTGCCCCTATAAATGATTTTGAACATGAGATTTTATATTTGATCTGGGAAGTTATAGGGAGCCACTAGAGTTGAATGACTGGGGGAGTGACAGTCACATCTGTGCTTTGAGATCACTTTGACAGCTGAGTGGAGGATGGAGTGGAGTCGAGAGGCAGAGATTCCCATCAGTGGACTATTACAATAGTTCAGGCATGAGGTGATGAGGGCCTATATCAGAGTGATGCCACTGTTAGGGATGAGAAGGGAGCGTATGTGAGAGATGTTGCAAAAATCAAATCAAAAGATTTAGTGAATATTCGACATGAGGAGTGAGAAAGAGCAAGGAATCAAAGAACATTAAGTTGAGAGCATTGGTCACTGGAAGGAGAGTGATAACCTCCACAGTGAAAGGAAAATTTGCCTGACTTTTACCTACCACCTTTATGTCAATGTTGTTTTCATTTTTCCAGCCTCCTAGGCTGAAATCTTCGTGCTTTCTTTAACTTTTCTTTCCTTTTTATGTCTTATGTCCAATTGTCTCCCAACCTTGCCATCTGTTCTTCTGAAATATCTCTTGCATTCTCTACCTCTGCTCCATTCATAAAATCACTCCATACATGATTTACTTTCATAAGTCTCCTATCTGCTACCCTTCTCTCCAGGAGCCATGCTTCTTCCCTGTGCCTCCACTCTTGATCTGTTCAGCCAATAGCCACCAGATTATTGTTATTACTTTTAAAAATATCGCTTGCATCGTTACTCTGCAGCTCAAGACTCTAACGTGACTTCCCACAGCCTGCTCCATAGAGTCTGAGGCTCTATTTTGTGTAGCTTTTAAAGTCTTCCGTAATCTGCAACTGTCCTTTCATTTAAAATGTATTTTTCTTTGTTCCCTAGAAGGCTCACTTCTCTCCAGTCAGGTAAATTGCTATACTGTTCTTCACATACACCATGATAAGATTCTCCTCATGCTTTCTTTGCCTTTGTTCATGCTAATTCTCCTCTTTGGAATGTCCTTTTTCTTCTCCTCTCTTTAGGCCAACTCTACCAATTTTTAAGGCCCATTTTAACGCTAACCTCCTCCATCAATCTCTTTCCTAAAGCTCATATGTTTTAAAAACATATATTTGAAAAGAATGTTTTCACATACAGCTAGAAAATGAGAAATACAGGACATAGGGTACAGAAGTCTATCTTGCCCTACAGGAAAATAGAAGGGGAAGGGAATAAGGGGGTGGGAGAGATAGAAGAGAGGGCAGAGTAGGGGAAGGGATATTCAGAATGCATGCCATCTTGGGGTGGGGGGAGGGGCGTCATGGGGTGAAAATTTGGAACTCAAAATCTTGTGGAAGTAAATACTAAAAATAAATAAATTTATATTAAAAAAAAAACTCTAACCCCTAGCTGATCTTATCCTTCTCTCAACTTTCTGTTGCACTCAGAGTTAATACAGTAGTTTAGCGTTTTGTTTAATGTGTGTGTAATTTGTATCTCCAGCCAGTCTCTCAACTCATTGAAGCTTTAGGACCTTCTATTTCTTCTGTCTTCCACAGTACCTAACACAATTCCTGGCACACAATAGACTTCTGTTAAATCTCTATTGTTTGACTTCTTAGCAGTAGATAAGAGGAAGGAGCAGGAAGGGGGCACATGCATCAGAGAAAGCTTTGTTAAAATCCTGCCAGCCTCAAACACCTACTCTGGGAGTAGTATTTATCAACTTCCTTATGAGTCCCCTAAGAAGTGTGAGGCAAATCTTAGGAACCCCTCTGCTATTCTCTATCAAACTCGGCAGGGACAATTCACTATACTTTAGGCACTATCTCAAACAGAAGAATTCAGATGAAAGTTTTGAAATTTGTGAATAGAATTGTCTGCAGTGAGGGAGTATGTTGGAGAAAACACTGCTTAAACAAATGCAAATGCTTAGTGGTACATTGCCTTTTTCAAACATAAAATTCCCAAATCCCACAAGCACTAATTGTTGCAAAGAGGAATGGCTTTGTGTACATTTGCCATTCCTAGAAGCAGCAATAGGGCTTGGATGGTTTTAATCTGTATATATTCTGTATCAATTTTTCTGGGTACATGTTGTTCTCTCCCCAACTCCCCCACCCCCAAGAATGTAAGAGCCTTAGTGGCAGGGACTTTTCTATTGATGTCTTTGTATTTCCAGTGCCTACCATGTGATGGGCACTAAAAAAAGGCTTGGTTAATTAAAATTGGTTGAATTTACCTAAAACTGCAAATTTGGAATTTAAGGACCTTCACTCTTCACCATTCAGCTACTAATACTTGGAATATGCAACATTTACAAGTTAGGCATGCTGATTTTTGTTAATCTTTGTAGCACTAATACAAATTGGTCTTCACCTGGGCCAGAAGAGAGAAAACAAGGGTTCTTTCAAGTGCTTTTTCAATATTACTTCCTATAGCCGTATCAAAGTCTGTATTAGTTTTGCAGTTCAGTACTAGTATCCTTTTGAGAGGCAGTATGATATGATAAAAGACAGAATAATACCATATAAAAAGCAACAGATTTGGTATGATGAGAATTCTCATCTTTGCCTGTGTATTTGCTAGGTATATGACCATGGGTAAGTAACTTGACCTCTTGGTATCTCAGTTTCATTATATGTAAAATGTGAAGAATAATAACCTATCCTAAGAGCAAGCTTTATACTCAGAAAATCTGGGTTGAAGTCCTGTCTTTGACTCATGTGACCTTGGGTAAATCACTTAATCTCCCATTTCCCTGGGCAACTCTCTAAAGTGATAAATTGCTGTGGAGTTGCTATTCAAAGTATGTTGGTATTGAGAGTGCCCCACACAATCGACGTTACAGATCTGGACAAAAAGGGGGAAAAATACAAGCTATGGTGCCTACCTCATAAATTGTCTCCTCTGTTAGACCATGAGCTCCTTGAGAGCAGGGACTGTCTTTTGCTTTTTGTTTGTTTGTTTGTATCCCCAGCACTTAGCATAGGGCCTAGCACATAGTAGGAGCTTAATAAACACTTATTCACTGCCTCCTGTTAAGATCAGATTTGATAAAGTTTGTAAAGTGCTTTGTTAGCCTTAAGGTCCTACATTAATATCCGAAGAGAAATATATGAATGGTTATTATTTGGCTGTACGAAAAACAGAATTCTGGGGATGTGGAGGGGGATTTGGAGAATTCCATACATCTTAAGGGATTTTGCCACCACATCATACCCTTATTGCGGTGATGTGACTCCATTTCCAAAGTCTCCGTTGTTCCTATCACATGACTGAGGTTTCCTCTATTAAAAAAAAATCTCCAAACTTCTCCAACGATCTGGAATTTTATTCCATCCATATACATGCATAGTAACAACATTTGTTGAGAAATCATTTCTATCAGAAGTAGAACATTATCTTTGCGATCACCAGGTGCAGTATTGCTACTCATATTTAAATAGATCTTATATATGAATTAAATTCATACTTGCAGCATTGAGTTTAGGGTTTCAATTTTGACTGTGCCTTTCAAAAGATAAAACTGATTAATACTTACATCCTCATTACTTACAATACTGCTTCCAGTAATTTTGTTCATTCTTTATAAAGTATTGCATTTAACAGCAAAGGTTTAAAAATTGAGACAGAGATGCATCAGTGAAAGAAAATACAAGTACTATACAAGAAAAAAATGCCATCTTCATTTAACGTACATGTTTTAAGATTAAGAAAATGGACGGAAACATACCGCTACATACAAATGCAAAGCCTAATGACTAAAGGACTGTATCTGCTAAAATATAAAGTGCAAAACGGATCCTGGTCATTTACGAATTGAAATCTTAAGGCGAACTTTACAACATGTGTATTGAAAATGTCCTTGCAAGTTATATTTTAGCATATACATATATCTGCAACAGCATATAAGAAAAAAATCAGGATACACAAGTGCTTTTGAAGCTATTTCTAAAATGCTTTTTTCTGTATTGTTTGTGACTATTTTCTTTAAAACCTACTATACAGTGCAAACCATATGTGCTACACAATAACTATACAATAACATTACAAATGACTTTAATATAAAGTTTTTAAATAAAAATAACATAACCACAGCTATGAATACTGCTGGTAAAATAAATTAATATTTTTGAAAATGGCACCAATAATACACTTTACTAATGGATTGTAATGAAATTACACCTTAAGTCTTCAACTCAGCCATAATGAGTTATCTCCTGATTGCCCAGATAGCATTCAAGCAGCTTTGCTTGGACTGCATGGAACAAGATACTAAACACTGGTACCAAAGGTGACTGATGGGTTTGTTGGTTGTTTTCTGTTTTTATTTTCATTTGACATGTTCTGCGGCATGTGATGAGCAATAAAACTTCTTGTGAGTGATAAAGTTTGAAAGGTTGTTGAACTGGATGTCACACAGGCGGCAGTATTTTCCACTGGTTGGAGCCTGGGTGGAGCCATTCACACCTTTTGCTATACTAGACAACTGTTCCTCTGCTGAAGGAATTGCGGGAGACACATTTTCATTTGCAGCTAATGGGTTCTCAGAGATCCAAGATGGAGACTTGTGCCCATCTTCATGCTGAGGATTCTGGGAAATGTTCTCTTGCTGTGGGTTTGTAGCAGGCCTTTCATCTTGTTTCAGGCCACCATTCACTATTACCATGCCTCTGTTCTTGGGTAACAGTGGCAGAGACTCTTTCTTCTGGCCAGCACACCCATTTGAGGGGGCCTGGCCTTTGGGTGACTCACTATCTGCATTTGTGCTTTGATCTATGTCAGTGTTATGAATGACCAGAGAACCAGAAATGTAATCACTTGGCTTTATTCCATAGTATGGAGAAAGCTGGTCTGCTCCTTTAGCTTTCTTTATTGCTCCAGGGTAAAGGCATTGTGGGAGAAACAAATGTTTGTTTTCTTCTTTTGTTGCAATAAGCTGAGCAGCTTCACTAAAGACTTTCAGTCCTTGCAGAGTTGCTAAGTGGGATGAAAATAAGTTTCCGTTGGGAGAAGTCTGCTTCAAGTTTCCATTTTTCTCACATTTTATTATACTTCTTTCATAGCTGACATCAGGGCTATTCCGTTCACTTTCTGGATTTGGAAACACCTTGCCATCCAGTTGTCCAAGGTCATTACGCTGATGTGCAGTGACAGGGCAGAAATTCTGCTTGTGGGCCAGGTAGTTCTCTACCTTATTGAAACTGATCTTGCACACAGTGCACTCATGGTAATCCAGCAGCCTTTTCGGAGACGTGGACGTCCTCTCAGACTGAGATAAACACTTTTTGCTGAGATCAATGGGTACATCCATCTCCAAACAGGACACACTGGGATGAGAAGTGTCACACTTGGAAACTGGAACACATTTGTTGATTGAGAGAGATGTTTCCAGATGTTTTGAGACAATTCCTGGGAAGATATCACATCTTGGGTGGTAGCACTCTCCCAGTCCTTCTGTGGACTCTTGTGTAGACGTACAAGGATTACTGAGGTTGGCTACTTCCAGGAAACGCTGCTGAACAAGTTGAGGCCTTGGCTCCTGTTCAGGGAGGCACATCTCATACATCTTCCTTCGCTTGCGGGTACGCATTGTTCTCTGCATAGCAGGCACTTTGTTGGAAGCAGACCTCTTTAGGGGAGGGTCATGACGAGTTGCACAGTAATACTGCTTGTGGACCATATAGGTTTCATGTCGACTGAATGTGATGTTGCAAGCATCACAAGTGGTCTTATTAGGATCACTTTCCCCTTCCACTAAAGAAATGTTGGGGTTCTTTACATCAGCAGGTTTCCCATTGATTTTGTCATCGTTGCTACTGGAAGCTGATAGTTTTTTAGCCTGTGCAGGGAAGTCCTTGTCATGGCCCTTTCCACTTGGACCAATCAAATCTAAGACGGTAGAGGAATTGATACAGGATGTCTGAAGGAGCTGATTCTCAGGATCAGAAGGGTGAGGAGCTGTGTTAAGAAGGTTGATGGAGCTCTGACCATTGTTAGGGCTTACAGCCTCTGGCATCTTCTCTGAAACACTGGGGAATTCGGGAGACTTGGCCATCTGCTGCCATCGGCTGCTGCAATAATGCTTTTTGTGCACCAGGTAATTGTCCAGGTTGTTGAATGTTATGTTGCACTCAAAACAAGTGGCCCCTTTGGGCATCAGAGGACTGTAGATCACAGGAGGGTAACTGTTACTACCGTGCCTCAGCCTTCTATGTACCAGTTCAGACATCTTGGCCAAGATCTCTGAAGCCTGAGGAACCACTGTGATATCCTGGGGAAAAGCAAACTGAGATAGAAAAGGGCCCATAGGGAAAGAGGGACCAATGCCAGACTGAACTGGAGAGGAGGCAAGTCTTGGGCTAGAAGGTTCAGACTTGATTTTTGTATAGGAAAAGCTTTGTTTATTGGCTGAAGGCTGTAGTTCTGGTCTTTGATTTGGGAGAAAAAGCTGATTCTTTTTCTCACATTTATCCAGCTCTGTGTCAGAGCTAGCATCTTTAGTCTGCATGCCCTTTTGGCTCTGGGGAAGTTCATTTCTAGTCAACAGCTCTGTGACCGGCTGTATGTTGTCTTCATTTCCATTTGGGGAGTGTTCAATGTCACTTTCTCGTGGAAGTTTGTTGCCGGAAACATGGACTTCTTGGTGCTGCAACAGCTCCCTCTGAGTTTGGAAGCCAAAGTGACAGTGGTTGCATCGGAAGGCAGCTTGAGTGAGGTGGGAGAATAGGTGCTGGTGAAAATTGATCACAGAATCCGCAGTGTAGTTACAAATGGTGCATTTTAGACTAGCACCAGGAGGGAGAAACTCTTCCATTTTTACACCTGTGGAGAAACAAAAAAGGAGACTGCTAAGAACCAAAAAATCTTGTTTTCAATGAACGTGGTCCTTTCCAAGAAACTCAAGTATTTAAATTTATTAACTTAGCAGCTGCACTGGCCAAACTGACACAGATGACTTTTATTAACAAGTTTTTTTTTCTTTTGAGACAGCCCATTATAAGAGTAATAATCATACTTCTACCATGATAGCCAGGAAAGAGCAAAAGGTTTGGAGTTAGAATACTTGGGTTCAAATCCTAACCCTTGTCATTTACTACCAGTGTGATCCAGGGCAAGTCACTTAACTTGTCGAATCTCAGTTTCCTCAACTGTAGAATGGGTTGGAGGAGATGGCCTCAAAGTCCAACATCCCTTTGAAATCTATGATCTGTCATGACACCCTATATTTGTAGAATGTTTTTCTATTTCAAAGGGGCTTCATATTCATTGTCTCTTATGGTTCTTTTGATGATCCTATAACATAGCAGGGTAGGGTCTATTATCCTAATTTAATAGAGGAAGAAACTGAAGCCCTGAGGATTTAAAAACTAGACTGATGTCACACCAAGCACAGACCTGGGTTCAAACCCAGGCCTCCTGACTCCTTGTTCAGTGTTCTTTCCATTAGAACATGGGGCTTATTAGGAAAACACTAGTTCTGCTCTATGAAGTTGTAGATCAACTTTGCTTTACAACGTAGTAGTATTTCTGAAAACGTCTTCTTAAATCACATTTAAAAAAATAAACCATTTTAAACATGAAAGGTGGGATCTCTAATGAATGAATTCTAATGTGAACCCTTTCGCAAAGCAAATCAATCTCCTTTATCTTTTTCTAAATACCTATTTTTCTATTTCAGGGTGACTTAAAACAAGGTGCACATTCATTTAGTAGAGTTTATTAGACACCATTGTCCTTAATTTGCTAATATGATCTAATCTACTATGTGTTATCTTCTTCATAGATTAGAATAGAATGGACACAGAATTATAAATCAACAGTACCAAAGAGATGCACAAGAACCATAGTTTTAGGCCTCAGGGGTAATTGAGTATAAATCTCTCCTTTTACAAATGGGAAAACTGAGGCCCAGAGAGATGAAATGTCTTACCCAGGCTGACAGATCTAAGAAGTGTTTGAGGTAGGATTCAAATGTAGTTCTTCCTGAATCCAAGTCCCACAGTCTATATACTACATTATGTTGACTTTCATACCAAGAAAGGAAAGAATGACATAGCTGAAGGTATGGAGTTCCTATTATTTCCTCTTTTATTTCCCATTCAGAGGCAAAGATCTTTAGCCAGTATGGTATTTTTTTTTCTAGTTTTTCCTCCACATTGGATAGTTTTTATGTAGCACATATGGTGTCTCCAGTACTGTTCAGCCAGATTCGTGTCTCTCCATGCTAACCATCTGGGAAGGCCAACTTTCCCTGAACCCTCTATTTTACCAGATGAAGAAACTCAGCCTATGTGAGGGACCAAGGAGAAAGGTGAGTGGAAAACAATTGAGTTGCTCCTACAATCACAACACTCATAACTTTCCCTTAACTCTGTGGGTAGGGTAGCTTAAGGAAGGCTTCTTCTATCCTGAGACTCCATCAAGTGCACAAAGAATTAAAAAAAAAAGAGGTGCCCTATTGACTTTGGAGTCTTGCCTGGGAATGCAATGATCTCTGATAGTTGTGTCCTACCCAAGAGGGTGTCTCAAAAGGTGTGGCAAAATCAGTGAAGGTAATATACTTCAATAATTCAAACACCCACCCACCCACCCACACCTGCATACATACATATATATATATATATATATACATATACATATATATACATACATATATATGTATATATATACATATATATATATACACGTAGAGAGAGAGAGAGATCTATATCTATATTTTAAGTGTAATCTATGTAACAAATCTTTTTGAAGGAGTGATTGGTGATGGGATATAGCAACAGAGAAGCAAAATTTGGGGTTAAAGAGAGGCCTACCATGGAATTCTAAAGGAAATGGGACCTCCTATTACAAATGGATTCTAGAAAAAAAATGTTTACCTGTCAAGGTGAAAAAGACCATGAAGTTTAAAATGCTAGTGGCAGCTAGGTGAATCAGCAGAGCATTGGGCTTGTAGTCAGGAAGACCTGAGATTAAATCCTGCCTCTGATACTTATTAGCTGTGTGACCCTGGACAAGTTATGTAATCTCTTTGGGCATCCCTAAAATGAAAGGGTGGGACTCAATGACCTCTTTACAGCTCTGAATCTATGATGCCACAATTAACGACAGTTAAATTTTAAGAATTCAACTATTGGTAGATTCCCTGGAAGCCAAATTACCCAAGTTGATAGAGTAAAAGATAAAGGCTGAAAACATAACTACTTTTGCTTTTCTTACGAGCCTAATTTTAGTAGACTAAAGAAATCACTTCCATGATTAAATGCAGGATGAATCTGCTAAATAAACTAGTTCAGCTTTCAAAGATTGACAGACCCAGGAAGTAAATGAATTAAGGTCAGCATTAGGTCAGTTCCACACAGGCTACTCTGGATTCTCCTCAAAGATGATTACATTTCACATGAATACCAGGGAAGTCACTTCACTAATGGATATCATGGCAAGATTTGAAGGCAGGTCTTCCTCACCCCAGTTGCCAGTACTCTACCCACCATACCATGCTACCTCTAATATGTCATACATCAGGGAAAAACAGGAGCATATGAGTTGTAGTCTAGGCACACACCTGGGAGTAGAAAGTTTATTAAAGGGCAGGATATTAAGGCACTCTTGATGCCTTAAAAAGAAAACTGTCCTAGAAGAACCATATTGAAACTGTAAAGATTTCCAATGACCAGATTAATCTCTAGGAGCAGGGCAATGGGAAACTTACCACTGTGGGAATTTAGGTGCATTTCCAGGGCTCGGGCATTGGAAAAGCTTTTGGTGCACTGTGGGAAGGGGCAAGCACTAGATATCTGATGAGGAGTGTCTTCATTCTCTTCCGTCATTGGGACCCCATCTCTTTGCCTCCCACTGCAGTAGTACATGAGATGTGCTTGTAAATTCCGCTCACTTCGATACCAAATACCACAGGACTTACAAGGGAATATGTCCTCTGAAAAGAAAAACACAGGCACATGTGAGCTGCAGTACATCTGGAGCCAATGATAAGCAAAGCATCTGTTAGTTTTCTTATTCTCAGGCTTCTAAGATCCAAACCAGAAAAGTGGCCAATGAGATGAATAACAAATTTGAATGGAGCTCTGTAGAGAAACAAATACAATGAACATCTGTTCAGTTCCTACTATAAGTAGGGCATTTTTCTAGATGCTCAGTAAGATATGAGGTTAAAAACAGTCCATGTCTTTAAGGAGCTTATACAATAGAATTGGTAGTGCAGTGGACAGAACACTGGACCTGAAGTCAGGAAGAGCTGAATTCAAATCCAGTTACAGACACTTCCTAGGGCTAAGTGACCCTGGTGAAGTCACTAACCTCTGTTTGCTTCAGTTTCCTCAACTGCAAAATGGGGATAACAATATCATCTACCTTGCAGGGTTGTTGTGAAGATCAAGTGAGATAATATTTGGAAAGTGCTTAGTATAATATGTGTCACATAGTAGGTGCTATATAAGTGCTAGCTATTATTATTATCAATTCTTATTAAAATAATAATTTACACAGACAACTGTAATGTGTAGTATTGCATAAGTAATATATTTTAAGAAAAGCAGTATGGTAAACTGAATAGAGGGATGGTCTTGAGGTCAGAACGATGTGGGTTACAATGCCTTTGGCGACTCCTTACAACTACAAGTTGCAGAATATCTTCCATTGGTATTGACAGAGGGAGCTGTGAAAATTCTCTCTATCAATGAAATCATTGGTTTTATTTTTAAAATGATGCACATATATATATATATATATATATATATATATATATATACAGACACATTGAATGATTGCATGTCTGTATATATGTACATATATATTTTATAATAAAGGTGGAAAGATTTACATCATTTCATTAATGTGGGAAACTTACAGTCAGAAACTCTCTCCACTACAGTAGACTAACTGGCAAACTCCACTGTAACTAAGAATCTTAGATTTGCCTGGGATAATTAAGAGGTTAAATTACATTCATCAAGCAAAGTCATTTCCTTACTTCAGATTTTAAGATTCAAATGACTCTGTGTGTGTCAGAGGGAGGATTCAAGTAAAGGTTTTCTTAAAAAAAAATCAGAACTTAAAACACTAACAATGCCCACTGCTCCAATCCTTAGTATTCCATTTACCCAGAAGAATATGAGACAGTAAAGGAGGGAGAAAGGGAGGGAGGGAGGGAAGGGGAGGGAGAGAGAGAGAGAGAGCGAGCAAGAGAGAGAATATATATAAAACCATGAATCTCCATTACATACTACTTCTAAAAAATACACACAATCTGTATATAAATAGATGTGTATATAGAATGTATATATAATATATACATATATATAATAAATTCCACATGTTAATTTCAAAACTGTCCTATTTTTCTGTTAATATTTTCACTACAATCTTTTGCTGACAGATTTTTCTTAATCAGCAAGCACTTATTAAGTACATTCCATTTTCTTGGTGATATGCAAGATGCTGGGGATATAAATAGAAAAGAAAGACAGGAAATGTATAGAATAAATGCAAAGGATTTTGAGGAGCTCCAATAACAAGGAAGTGAATCAGGGGAGACCCCCTTAAAGGGAGTATCTCTTAAGCTCTTGAGGGCAGCTAGAGGCTCCAGGAGGTAGAGTCGGGGAAGGTATTCCAGGCATGGGGGAGAGCCTTTGTAAAGGCACAAAAGTAGAAGATGCAATGCTGTATTTGGGAAACGTGCAGTAGGCCAGTTTGGCTGAAGCATACAGTGCATGATGAGATTGGAAAGAAAAGTTGGGGAAAAACGCCAGACTGTCAAAACAGAGAAGTATGTAATTTATCACAGGCAAAAGAAGAGTATTGAACAGGGTGTTATTACATAAGATTCCCTACAACATGGCTGCTTTATCTCTACTTACCCTGACAGAACTTCCAATACAATTATGACTGAAATAAAGCTGTATACTGCATGTAATAATATTGGTGAATATTTATATAGAACTTTAAGGTTTGCTAAGAGCTTTTACAAATGTTATCTCTGAGGCTGGATTTGAACTCGTCTTCCTTACTCTAAGTCTAGCACTCTATCCATTGCACCACATAATTCTTTTTCTCATGATGTACATATAAATTATATGCTATATTCACAAAGCATTTAACTAGAATGAGAACAGAGATCTTTGAGAAAATTTTGTTTATAGAGATATTTTCCTCATATAAAAACAAAATTATGTATTAACCAAATGTGTATTAAAACAATTTTTGGATATCAAAATAGGTTTAGTTTTCTTTCTTTTGCTTGAAAATTTCCCAGGCCCCTTTGGGTATTAATAGGTTTCCCTGGGACCAATTTTTATCAGTTCTGTCAACATATTTGAAGCCCCCAAATGGTCTGTGGTCAAATTAATCATATTTAAAGGGGCTCATTCTGCTAAGTAGGCTTGTAGAGAATCCATACAGTTCACTGTGTCAGTGTCTCATGTGCCACTCAGGAGTCAACATCTGCACTGGAAAACTTTAGTACTCTCTCTTTCTTCCTTCCTTCCCTTCCTTCCTTCTTTCCCTTTTTTCTTTCTTCCTTCCCTTTTCTTCCTTCCTTCCCTTTCCTTCCTTCCTCCCTTCCTTTTTTCTTTCCTTCTTCTTCCCTTCCTTCCTTCCTTCCTTCCTTTTCTTCCTTCTTCTTCCTTCCTTCCTTCCTTCCTTCCTTCCTTCCTTCCTTCCTTCCTTCCTTCCTTCCTTCCTTCCTTCCATAGAACCACTTCAGAGACAACCAAAATACAGGCAAAGCTAGAGGAAAGAAAATCTGTGGTCCAAAATAATCCAAGATTCTAGGAGTTCCCACAGCCTGACAGTGAGTTGGGTATACCTTGGACTCCACCCCACAGAATGAATGAAGCTGCCCTCCTCAGCACTTACTATTGACAATAGCTGTAGGCAAAATAGATGCCATGGCAGCTTGTTGAGGGAGCAGTTGAATTGAATCCAGCAGCCGTGCAGGATACATCCCTTCTGTGAGTGTCATCTGACTGGCAGCTTGTAGCCTTGAGTCAAAATCTACCACAAAGGCAATTAGCTCCTCACCCTCAGAGATGGCCTTCGTGGTAGTGCACCAAAGCTGACCCCCTATTAAGAAGAAAAGAGGGAGAAAAATTAATTGACAATAGAATTTTCAAGCCTGTTGTAGAGTAGATTTAATGTCAACAGCATCTTCTCATGTATCTAATGTCAGTTTAGGGGTGGAGTGCTTAAGCAAGGCAGCTGGCTATCCTTACCCTTCCCTTGGGGAAGGGGGACAACTCCTTTCCTGGATTAGATGAAATATCCATCTATAATGACTAACAGTAAAAGAGATCAAGAAAGGATATGTAATCAATACGTCTGAGATAGCGATGTCAAATGTTTGCCCTCTGTTCTTCTTGTATCTCATCCAAATTATCATCTCAGTATGGTTTTGTTGGTCAAAAGGAAGGAAAAAAAATATTACAACGGGTTTAGTCTAAATACATTCTTTGCCCAAATATACACACATAGATATTTCCTAAATACATATATATGTATATACATATATTACATGATACATATGTATATGTATGTGAATATATGCATATATGTATGTGTACGTGTGCATATACATAAATGTATGTACACACATATATGTATATATACATACATGTATGTGTATACACACACACACACACACACACACACACACACACACACACATATATATATATATATATATTTTTTTTTTCCTGATGACCTTTTTCTCGCTGCTTTTCCTTTAGTGCCTGGAAGTAGGAAGATCATATGCACTATAATTTTGTTCTTCATCCTCTCAAAGTAGATTTTATTTTTTTAAGTTTTCATTGATGCATTGTATTTTAATGTCATCACCTTTTTCCTGATATCACTCCACCTTTAAATTTTCCCTTTCAACAAATGAAAAGTAAAATTGATCAACAAAATGACCACATGATAGCGTATCATAATATCCAAGCATCATAGATTAAGATCTGAAAAGATTAAGGTCATTAGTCCAGCTCCCTCATACAACACCCATAGTGCCCAACCTCTTAGCTAAGAAGAGCAAAATGTTTTTTAATTAGCTGCTTTCAAATTGATTTATTCATTTTGTAAAAAAATGTTGACTAATTAAACATAAGTATTGTATAAAATATATAATATATTCTTATATGTATCATAGCTAATAATAATTCACATTTATTTAGAGTCTTACATTTTCTTAAGCATTTTTACATTTGTTGTCTTATCTGCAGTCCATAAATATTGCCTAATTGGGGGGGGAATTGTATTTATTTTGATTTCTATTTTTAGTTCTGAGTTTTCTTCCCCCCCACTATTCTCTCCTCCACCCTTTGAGAAGGAATATGATAACCACTATCCATATGATATCATGTAAAACATTTCCACATTAGCCATGTTCCAAAAAAAATGAAGCACAAAAATTAAAATAAAGAGGTATGCTTTAATCTGCATTCTGAATCCATAAATTCTCTATCTGGTGGACACATTTTTCTTTATAAGCTCTTCGGAACTGGGGTGGATCATTGGATTGATTAGAATTATTAATTCTTTTACAATTGGTTATCTTTACAATATTGCTATTACTGTGTATACTGTTCTACTAGTTCTGCTCACTTCATTTTGCATCAGTTCATATAATTCTTCCCAAGTTTTTCTTAAACCATCCCCTTCATCCTTTGTTACAGCACAATAGTATTCTGTCACATTCATATGTCATAACTTGTGTAGCCATTCATAATCAACAGGAATCCCTTGTTTCCAAATCTTTTCCTACCATAAAAAGAGCTACTATATTTTTGTACACATGGGTCCTTTTCATTTTCTTTTGATCTTTTTGGAGTACAGACTTAGTAGCTGTATCACTGGGTCAAAAGGTATCAACAAATTTATAGCCCTTTGGGCATAGTTCCAAATTATTCTCTAGAATGAATGGACCAGTCATTCCACTAACATCCACTCCAACAGTCCACTCCACTAAAAGCACATTAGTGTACCTATTTTTCCACATCTCTAGCTTTGTCATTTTCCTCTTCTGTTATCTTAGCCAATTTGATGTATATAAGGTGGTATCTCAGAGCCATTTTAATTTTTGTTTCTCTAATTATTAGTAATTTTGAACATTTTTTTCATATGAGCATTGATAGCTTTGATTTCTTCCTCTGAAAATTGCCAGTTCATATCTTTTGTTGTTATTATTGTTGGGTCATTTTAGTTATGCCCTCCTCTTTGTGACCCCACTTGGAGTTTTCTTGTCAAAGATACTGGAGTGGTTTGCCATTTCCTTCTTCAGCTCATTTTACAGATGAGGAACAGAGGCAAACAGTGTTAAGTGACTTGCATAGGGTCTCACAGCTAATAAGTATCTGAGGCAAGATTTGAACTCAAGAAGATAAGTCTTCTTGATTTTAGGCCTGGCACTCTATCCACTGTATCACTTGCTACTTGTCACATCCTTTGACCATTTATCTCAATTGGATAATGGTTCTTATTTTTATAAATTTAGTTCAAGTCCAAACATACATATATACATATATCTAATCTAATCACTCTCTCTCTCTCTTTCTCTCTCTCTCTCTCTCTCTCTCTCTCTCTCTCTCTCTCTCTCTCTGTCTGTATATATCGATATAGATATAGATATATATCTATATATCTATATCTATATATAGATCTCTATATACATATTATATATATTTTTTGAGGGTAGGGACTATATATATATATATGTGGGGGGGGTACTACTAGACCCATTTGCTTTCACTCCTTTTCCATTGATTAACCACTCTATTTCTTTTCTTTCTTTTTTCTTTTTTTTTTAGGCAATTGGAGGTAAGTGACTTGCCCAGGGTCACACAGCTAGTGAGTGTTATGTGTCTGAGGCAGGATTTTAACCCAGGTGCTCCAGACTTAAGGGCCAGCGCTTTATCTACTGCACCACCTAGCTGCCCCAACCACTCTATTTCTTATACAGTACCAAATTGCTTTGATTATTACCTCTTTGTAGTATAGTTTGAGATGTGGTACTACTAGACCCCCTTCCTTCGCATTTTTTTTCATTGATTCCTTTGATATTTTTGGCCTGATATCTACTTGCAGTTCCTTTCATACAATGCACTATTTCTCACTTTGCATTGGCTGCACTTCGCAGCTTGCCTTTGCCCTCTGCCAATCAGGATCCCGGACTCCCCACCTCTCTCCACACCGAACTAGGGCCTTTTCCTTTTATTTACTGTGTACATACCTTGTATATACCTGTATATATATTTTTGTCTCCCCTATTAGAATGCAAACTCCTTAAAAGTAGGGACTATTTTTGCTTTCTCTGCATCTCAAGCACTTCATAAAGTGCCTGGTACACTATAAGCACTTAATAAGTGTTTGCTGATGGGTTGATTGATCCTTGCAATCACTGGATAGAGCAGGTAAAGCAGATATTTTCCTTTCCATTTTTATAGATGAAGAAACTGAGGCTCAGAAAAATTGTGATTCATGGATTTATTTTTGTAATACAGAGATACAAACACACACACACACACACACACACACACACACACACACACACACACCCCTCTCAAACAACCCACAAAGCTAGATTCTGATGTTTTCATAAGGTGGTTTCACTCTCCATGTGTTCCCTACCAACTTTTGCTGACTGATCTTTCTTATGTAATATTCCTTATAACATGATGACTGCTTTATCTTAGCTTCCACTGACAGAACTTGGAAAGAAGATATGCCAAAGATCTGTTTCAAAAAGGCTTATTTAAATAAAGGTTTATTTAAAGAAAAAGAACCCTTTCTTCCAATGGTAAGAAAGATACACTGTGGCTCTGGGCTACAGTGGTCATGTGACATGCATTAAAAAGGAAATCACCTATGCAAGTCTATGTACTAATATATTGGAATGAGATGGTGAAGGCTCATTTATTTACATGTTTAGACAGGCAAAGAATTTATATTTCTTAATCTATATTTTCAGGCCAAGACATACATCTAATACAATTATACCTGAAATAACACTGCATACTTTAAATGCTATAAACATTGTTTTCCCTTATAGTACACATATAGCAAAAACTATGATATACTCATTAAACAGGCAAAAATGATATTCATTTGGATGTCACATTTCTCTATCTCTCAGTATTATTGTCTACCTTTTCAATTATACTTTATTTCCAATTCTACCCCCACTCCCACTCCAAAAGATATTATAGTTGTAAAACAACTTGTTGCAAACATCTGGTAGAAGAGATAATAAGAGTGTACGAATTAACACAGTTCAATCTGTAAGAATTAGGACATCATTTTAGAAAAAAACTTTGAACAATTAATTAAATGAGGTTATTAGCTTTTAAAGATGAGGAAACAAAATAGCATCAATGAAAATATTTAAGTCTAAAGATAAAGTTCATATTGCAGCCTCAAAGAGGTATCAAAGTTTCAAAGTAAAACATGTGTAAGTGAAAACACATATCTGCATACTTAATCATGCACATATGAACCCAGAAGTGAACTTTGTCAACCCTTAGAATCATTCTCTATCAGAGTTGGAAGGAACTTTGTGAGTGATAGAGGCCAATCCTGCATTGCAGATTTATGCTATATGTAGAAGGGGAATAGCTTGGCTGACCAGAAGCTTAACAGTACAACAAGACTCATTTGAGGGCAGACTTCTTTGTTCCAAAGAGTAGAAGCTATAGTATAGCATTTCCTTAAAGCATGAGATTCCTTAGTGTAAATGGTAGTATTACAGATTGTAATATTTTTCTCTAAAACTTCCCAAGTAATGTATCTGAATCTAACTTGTGTATCTCTATGATGCTGCCTTATGATTCAAATATCTTCTGGCTAGATAGAGATGGTATGATCACTTGTGTCTTGTTTTCTCTCTTTCTACACAGAATATAAAGTGTGAGAGGTACGGTGGTATTTTGCATAAAGAGTCAGACCTATGTGACCATAGGCAAGTCCCATAGTTTCTGAGCCTTGTTTTCCTCATTTCTAAAATAAGAACAATTCACATAGGACCATCCTCATCCATGCACTTTGCAAATCTTAAGACACTACATAGATGTCAG